AAAATGGTGCCAAAAGGTGGTGTGATCTTGGATCTAGAAAGCTTCACTCCTTCAATGTGGTCTTCTCTTCCTTTCTTCTTCTTCTTCAAAAGCACAAAACACACACACATAAGTTTATAAAATGGCTTCTCAAGAGGATATTAGGGTTGCAAACACGTATGAGAGGGTGGAGGCTGATAAGGTGAAGGAAATGAGACCATAAGGGTGCTTAAATACCGGCCAAACCCTAAAAAATAGGGTTTCCTCATCTGGCAAGTACACCCAACGTACACTGATGTACGCTCAACGTATTAGGGCGCGCCCTAGTACGCTCAACGTACACCACGTACGGATGGCGTACTCTGCAGGCCTAAAATTACAATAATGCCATTAAGGCCCTTTTGCATATATGTCTTGAACTTTGGGACCAAAACACAACATAAATGAATTAAAGGGGTTAAATTTAGAAAATACCTCACATCGGGATGTTACATTATAGATGTAGTTTTATCAATTACACATTATAGAGCTCTACCCCTACAACAACATCAAACATTATTATCGAGAAAAAAAATTACACATTATATATATATATATATATATATATATATATATATGCAACTACTATGAGTTGAAACACCATACTTCTCTTTTAATTCTGATCACAGAGCTTTGGCAGATCACTCAAAACAGTTATATGGTAATAAAAAGGTGAACATCCGTTTTGGACAAACCCCGAGAAAGGATATATAACCAAATATCAAATAATTACCGAAAATAAAACAACAATTTGAAAGTACTCATCATAAACAATTTATCAACTATCCCAATTTTCTCTATCAAACCTCAATCCAATCTTTTTCCATGCATAACAGCCCAATGCATTCTGCCTTTTCCAAAATTTGCTTCAAATTCATCCTGAGCATTAAAGCTTCACCCTTTGTTAGCCATATCAAAAAAGAATTATCTTCCTTTCTTTGGTTAACACAACTCCAATTCAACAAAGACTCATACCAATCCCAAATCATGATCAAAACAACATGACTTAAAACTTGTTTCTGAACAACCTGTCATTAAAATCATCAAATGAACCAGATCAAGTTGTCATATTCTTTAGAAAAAACCATTTATCACAGATCTCCTTGGGTAGACTTCAGCCCCAAAAGTTTGTACCTAACATCTTTAAGGATTACTCTAGCTACTTCCTTCACATCACAAAATCAATGCACATGAAGATAATCAGTTCCAACTAAAAACTAATCACATGGATCAAATCTAATTACCGGGATCAAAATACCATGAAGTAATAAAAGGAATCGCAAGAGCAGTGGGAATTCATAGACAAATTATTTTCCGGAATTGGGAAAACAATATAAAACAAACTAATTATAGGGATTAAAATCTTACATGTGATAGAATTGCATGGAAGAAACTAAAAAAATGCTTTCAACATGGAAGAAAAACTTAAGGGAGATGACTCACCGAGGAAGTCAATGGCACGAAGGAGGAAGTCAACAACGTAGGCGGAGGCGAAGGCGGATGAAGGATCCGTAAACGAAAGTGGAACGCCGATAGAAGGTGATGAACGATAGAAGAGGGTGATGGTGTCGCCGACAGAGGCTGAGGTATATCGACAGATGCAGAGGTGGGGAAGGAAGCGAAGCGCAACTGCAGAGGTTCTGTTCGTGTTTTTTCTTTAGCGCAAGGGAAAAATAGGATGGGGATTATTTCATTTGGGTCAGCAGCTAAATTCGAGTAGACCGAGTCAGTGTCTTGGTTAGCAATAACTGACCGAGCCTGCCATATTTTAACATTATCAAGCGGGTTGACTACTGACCGAGTCAATAGTCAACTCTGACTGGACTTGGTAAGTGCAAAACAAACAACCCCTTAGGGAGTCTGGTTGTGTAATCTTTACGTGACAAATTAATAATACATTAATTAAAAGGGGAATACACTTAGTGGGGTGTAAGGGGTAGCAACATAGATTTAGGTGTGTACCCTATCCGGATACTTGTGAGGGTCTTATAGGTTGAAAGATACCTAAAGGGGAAAGAACTTAAGCCAATAGTGACGTCGAGTGGTTTTTCTAGACTTCCATTCGGGACATGGTTCGTGGACACTAAGGTGTTCAAGGACTGGAGTGATATTGGCGTAGTGATGACGCTGGATAAAATATCACATTTGGGTGGGAAGTTTCTAGTGATGGGAAATAATGATAGGTACCACTCTTGAATGACAACACACATAGTCAGAGTATCGAACGTAATGCATCGAGGGCAATGTTACGAGTGAGAGTCGCGCCTCACTTAGAACATTGGGTCGAGCTGGTAATGTCAGTAGTAAATGAGATTTCTACATTTTGGGTTAGTGATGGACCCAATGGGGGAAGGGTTGGGCCGGTCACTTAGTAGTGAACGCTTTTTTCCTTCAGGTTAATGATGGACCTGCGTGTGGGGTGTCTACCTTACGGGTTAGTAATGGACCCATGTGTGGGGTGTCTAACTTACAAGTTAGTAATGGACCTAAGGATAGGTTAGGAATAATTAATATTTATCTAACAATAAAAGATAAATAACAAGTGTAGACTTTAATGATGCTCTAGTGATGTATGTGATGTGAGTGATGCATGTGATGTATGTGTTGCGTGTGATGTAAGTGATGTATGTAATGATATGCTATGTGTGTTTTCCTAACATTGTACTTATGGTTGAGTCACTTAGCTTTTCCTGACACTTGTTTCTTTTTTTGTGGCTTTTGCCTTGTATTGGTATAGGTAGCATGATATGATGGTCGGGTGAGTATTGAGGGCTTATGAGTGGTTACCTTTCGATATATGTCTTAGTATTGATACCATTTGGACATGTCATTGAGTTTCATAACACTTGTTTTTGAGAACTTAATTTGGATTGGTTTATGAACTTGTAACGACCCAATTTTTCAAAGAATTATTTCATTTTTAATTATCCAAAACACAATTCCATCATTCACAAAAAACTAGTTACAATTGTTTTCAAAACCATATCAAATACAACTTTATTTCAAAATATCAGAGTGTCCCATAAAATGCCCGAGTGAGAGTGCACGTCGCACCATCAAGCATTGCCTTTGCCCTTGGGCTCAGATGTACCTGAAACAAATCCACAAACTGTAAGCTAATGCTTAGTGAGTCCCCCAGAGCATACCTCACACACAATCCACATAACACATATCATATTAGCTATAAAGCTACACATATCACATAAGCGATGCATACAACATATAAGGAAGCCATGGAAACCCTCCAGGGTCTTACACCTAATGCCACGCCAACCTTCACGTGGTCTTATCTGCCATGGGAACCCCCACAAGGTCTTCCTGCCTTGGGAACCCCCACAAGGTCTTCACTACCAAACAAGACATAATGCAAGGAGCTGGCCACAATGTCTTCTAGCTTTCGTGACACGACCAAGGAGCTGGCCACAATGTGGTTGATTGTTGATTTTGACTAGTTAACCGTTAACCATTTGAGTTTTGACCGGTTTGACTTTTGGTCAAAACTTTGAGGAATTAAGTTATAAACTAAGGTTTGACCTCTAATTGTAATCTAGGTTGTTCGCATTGTTGATACGTTCGATTATGCGAGTGTATTGGTTTAACTCTTTGATTCATGTGATCAGCTTCTTTGTATATCCAAAGTAGTAGGTTGGATAAGTATTGTTTGGGTACGACTGTATGTTTAAGTTGCTTAGTTTGTTTGCTTATTATGTGTTGGATTCTAGGGGAAGTTGGCTATAAGCCTTCAAGCCAACTAGGATGGTAGCTGGAAGTTTAACAGATATTTAGGATGATGGCTTTGTGCCTATAGGCCCACTAAGGTGTTTACTATGAATTGATGATGGCTGGAAGTTTAACATCTCTTTGGGGTGATGTCCTTATGCCTATAGGTCCATTGGGGTGTTGACTATGAACATTGTATGTATGCACTTAATATGTAATGTAATATTTGATATTTTTGAGAACTCACTAACCTTTAACTTACAGTTGTTGATTTAATGTATTTCAAGTAGTTCCTTTGATCGGGGAAAGACTCCAATTTGATTGTATTGTACACGCATCACTAATGATTATGTTTTGATTCACGATGTTTCAAATACATAAATGGTTTTGTGACATTAATTCTTGATATTTTATCTTTATAGAAAAATGAATGCTATATTTGTGTTTAAAAAAATGGTTTGAAACATGGGACGTTACATGAACACTTTAAAAAAGTTCAATATCAATAGAAATTGTTTGATGAATGACTAGTATTGTATTAATATATTAAACTATTTTGTTATGATATTATTTAATGACGAAACTCAATGGCCCTGAGTACTTTGACTCACTTACATCTCTATGCCTACTTGCCTGGTGTTCCCATTACCGGGTTTTTGAATGACTTATTAGTTTTGCATTTCGAAAGAGATTTTCTGAAAAGATTAGTTTAGAGGAAATTGTCAGAGACTTCAAAAAAAACAAAAAGTCGAGGAGTTCCACTTTGATAAGCGATGCAAGGATATTTCATCTTAATTATTTTGTTAAAATTTTGATATCATATCGTTGAATCAAATTAAAATAGTTTTATATGTTTTTGTTTTTACGTTTTGGTTTCGGCCCCTTATTATTGTTCATGTTCCGCCCCTGATATTACTTGTATTTATCCACTTTATTATAATATAAATAATTTTTTAATTTTTTAAAATTTAACAAATTTAGAATTTAAATCTCCGACTAAAATTCGATATTTCCCAGTTTTAAGAACCACGGCTCTCACGTTTTAGAAATTAAGTTGAGTGACGTCAAAAATTCAATTTGATTAAAAGTGTAGATGCGTGTTATCAAAGGGACCAAACCTGTAACTTAGTATAATGATATAAGGGAACGGTGTAGATCAGCCTTAACCTATTTTTCATCGAGATACGAAGAAGTTACCAATCTAATGATCTAATCCCCAGACTGTCGCACATCCGCCACACACATACCACCGGCGATCAACTATGACGATTCCGATTGCCGACATCGATCCTGGCTCCCACATCCTGGTTTTCCCTTACCCAGCCCAGGGACATATGCTATCACTTCTTGATCTCACCCATCAACTAGCCATCCGAGGCGTATTCATCACAATTCTCGTCACTCCCAACAATCTCCCCGTTTTATCCTCTCTCCTCTCCGCCCATCCAACTACCATCACCACCCTCGTCCTCCCATTCCCACCACACCCCTCCATTCCTTCCGGCATCGAAAATGTCAAAGACCTACCAGCCGGTGGCTTCAAGTCCATGATGGTGGCCCTAGGCGATCTACACAACCCCCTTCTCGATTGGTTCCAGAATCACCCTACCCCGCCGGTAGCCATCATCTCCGACATGTTTCTTGGATGGACTCATCACCTCGCATGCCAGCTTGGCATCCGCCGTTACACCTTCTCTCCGTCTGGTGCGTTAGCTCTTTCCGTCATCTTTTCCTTGTGGCGCTACCCACCCAAAAGGGCTGAACCACAAAACGAAAACGAGATGATAAGATTTCCCAAAATCCCGAATTCCCCAGAATACCCTTGGTGGCAGCTGTCCCCGATTTATCGAAGCTACGTGGAAGGAGACCCAACTTCGGAATTCATCAAAGATGGCTTATCCGCTAATATGGCGAGCTGGGGAATCGTCATCAATTCGTTCTCCGAGTTGGAACGAGTTTACGTTGACCACCTTAAGGAAGAGCTCCGCCATAATCGTGTGTTCGCCGTTGGGCCTTTACTCCCTCCAAGCAATAGTACAATCAGCAGAGATGGGTCCAGCTCAAAGGAAGTCCTATCATGGCTCGACACGTGTGCATCTCAGTCGGTGGTGTATGTCTGTTTCGGAAGTCAAGCGGTGTTGACCAACGAACAGATGGAGGTGGTGGCATTGGGTTTAGAGAAAAGCCTCGTAAACTTCGTCTGGTCGGTGAAAGAACCCACCGCCGGACACGTGACAGGAAAATACGGCAAGATTCCGGCTGGATTCGAGGAACGTGTGGCCGGTAGGGGTGTTGTTGTTAGAGGGTGGGCGCCGCAGGTGGCTATACTGAGTCATGACTCGGTAAGTGCGTTCTTGACTCACTGCGGTTGGAACTCGATCATGGAAGCGGTGGCGGCGGGGGTTTTAATGCTGACGTGGCCGATGAGCGCTGACCAGTTCTCCAACGCGACGCTGTTGCACGAGTTGAAAGTGGGAATCAGAGCGAGTGAGGGACCGGATACTGTTCCTGACTCGGGCGAGTTAGCCGAGTTGTTTAGTAAATCATTGAGTGAGAAGACCCGAGTGGAGAGAGAGCGAGCGAAGGAATTTGGGAGTGCGGCAAAGCAAGCAACAAGTGAAAATGGGAGTTCATGGAAAGAGTTGGATAGATTAGTGGCCAATTTATCACATTAAAGGAATCAGTGGACCATTTATCAAAAATCAAGAAAACTGTGCAAAATTTTAGTTTTTTCTTAAAAAACATTGTAAAAAATGGTCGGTGTGTGTATTTATTTTCTTTTAATTTAATCCAAAAAATAAATCAATTTGTATGTAGTCCAAAATGATTTGTTTGTCATATTTTTACAATTTTTTTTTATTCATTTACATTTTTTTAATTATATAAAATAAGAAGTCCACATCCATTCCTTCTTGCACTACAAGAAAAATCCTAAATAGCTACGAAAACTTGTTACGAAATTGAAATACATAGCTATTCTATTACGAAATGTGCTACAAAATGGCTTTTCGTAGCTATTTTGCTACGGAAATGGCTACGGAGTTACATTTCGTAGCTAAACTATGAATAACTACAAAAGTTATTACGTAATCAAAATCTGTAGATATTATACTACGGAATATGCTACAAAATGGCTGGCCGTAGTTATTTTTCTACAGAAATAGCTACGAAGTTGCATTTCCGTAGCTAAATCTTGAATTTTTACTACAAAATCAAAATTTGTATCTATTTTATTATGAAATATACTACATGGTTGTTGGTTGTAGCTAGTTAAAATAACTCAGCTGAAATTGTTTAGTACCTAAAGGAGGTAATATGTGGTGTGATTTGCTGTTTCTTTGCTACTTCCGTATTAGACATCCCAACTGTTTGATAAAATGCCTGAAAGAAGGTTTTCATCTTTTTATAAAAATCCAATACTTCTCAGATAGGTGGAACTTCAAGTGGTGAGCAGCATTTGGGAAATTCTACTAATATAGAACTGCAACCCAAGATGCAATTCTTTGTCAACAGGTATGATCAAATAGATCCTTTTACTTGACTCCCTTATTCTTTTTTTTTTGTTATCATTCTACATTTTTTTAGTTGATTCGGGAATAAATTGATTGTATTTTGAGGACATTCTAGTTGTACTTCAGCCCATTTTATCAACATATATGATAGGGCTACAAATGTTTTCTACACTTTTGATGGTTAAAACTGATTTCAACTGAAGATGCCCTTTATAACTAACTTTTCATCCAACTGATAGGTTTTGTAACTTAATTAAATTTATGGAAAGACATAACTACCCTTTCATTTGCTAAAAAATACAAAGACTGAATTACCCTTGCTAATTCTTCACGGAGTTGGTGCTGACAGTTTGTGGGCCTTGTACGTTTATTCAATTTAGTCCCTAAAATGTAAAAGAGACAAAAAAAAAGCTTGATTTATACGCTTCTTTTTCTGTATTTTGTATGTTGAAATATGCTTGTGAGTTTGTCCATGAGAGGTAATGAGCAACTCACTTTCAATTGTGTAAATCAAGTTTAAAAATGTAAAAATTACAATGAGAAGAATTAATCTTATATACGAAAAATTCAATATGTTAAGGCAAAATACAACGAGAAGAATCAACAGTGAATACCAATATTTGTCTTGCAATGGGAAATGCAGATATTGACAAAGCAGAGATTTTGTTAAAGCTTCCTGATATTTTGAAATCTGATAATCTTGGGAATGTTCACGTAATTCTCTTGAAGGGTAAATTCGTCTTTTTAGGTTCTGCTTTCAAAAAAAATTCAATCAATCTCATTATCTTAAACATGAATCCTAAAATTAAGCAAAACATAATCAATTCTCAGTTCTCAAAATCATAAATGACCATTTTGCCCTTATTTCTGTAGGCATTGACTCGAGCCAGGTTCCCATAGTGAGGCTTATGGATCTTACTAATGTTGTTATAAATACAAAGCTTCTACGTGACTACTCAAAGATAGATGTAATATTGAGACATTTGCCCTTCATTATCAAACATTAGGCAAAGACATGTCCTTTTTTTATAATTTGAATTTGTTGTTTTTTTTTTTAATTTATGTTTCAGGTATGTTTTGATGTGCATTATTTCAAAGAATGTGTACCTGTAAATGACGGTAGGAGAGGAGAGCAGAAATGAAGACTTCAAAAATTGTTTGGTCCGATAACAACGCATCAGAGGATACGGCTTTATAAGGTTAGGGTTTATAATTTCTATAATTTTGGTTTTAGATTTTAAAGATTAATGAAATGTTTGAAATTTAAATTTTGAAATTGTTTGGAGGGAATGATAACATGTAATGAAATTATGACTTTTTTAAAGAAAAATTTTCGTTGCTAAAAATGGATCCTTTTGTTTTTTAAAATAGATAGTACGAACTGTTATCCGAAATAGTCGATATGGGTTAATAAAAGACTGCAATTTCATTTTTTTTCTCATCTGATACAACTCAACAATTCCATAACAGGTTAAAAAAACATAGGAATAGAAGAACTGATTTTATTTTTTTAGCTACTTTTATGTTTGTATTGGACTGTAGATGTTTGTGTGTGCATTGCTATTATTGTCATAAAGGAAAGTTGTGTTAATATCAATATATATTACAAATAATAACAATCTACTTTGGTAAGTTTACATGTTTAAAATGAAAGTAAGATGCTATAATGGGTTAAAAAGGAAAGTAGGCTGCTATTATAGGTTCAAGTGAAAGTAAGATGCTATGATTTCATACAAGAGTTTTGAATGTTAATCAAGTTGTTTATAAATTTGATTTTGCAGGTTGTGCCATTTTTGTTGAGCATCTATGGTTGTTTGTGACAATATTTGTAATGAATATTCAGTTTTGATGATTAGGGAACCATGTAAAAGGATTTTCAATTATGTAATATATCTATAAAAATCTATATAACTATTAAAATTAAATTTATTGCATTTTTATATATTTCAACGAATATTAAATATGACAATTGGATTTTGTTGAATATTTTTATCGTTATGAATTTGTTTTGGAACCTATTTTTGCTATGGAACAAATGACTACGGAATTTGCCACGGAACAAATGGTTACGAAATTTGCTACGGAACAAATGGCTACGGAATTTGTTACGGAAAAAGTGGCTACAGAATTTGCTACGGAACAAATGGCTACGGAATTTGCTACGAAACAAATGGTTACGGAATTTGCTACAAAACAAATGGCTATGGAATTTGTAACGGAACAAATGGCTACGAAATTTGCTACGCACGCCATTGTTAGAGAATTGTTATGGAAGTGTGTTGTAGTTAAATTGCTACGGAATAAACGTCGTAACAAAACTGCTATGGAACTATAATTCTGTAGCTAAACAGTTTGCTACAAGAAATATACCTACAAAATCTCATTGACAAATTCCGTAGGAACTTCTGTAGTTATTTAGGTTTAGCTACGGAATTTTAGCTTTTAGCTACGGAATTTTTTCGTAGCTAAATCGAAATTTTCTTGTAGTGTTGTCTCTTTTTCTAAAATACTAAATGATGAGAGACATGACATTTTCTATGTAACAATTTTATATACATTAAAAAAATAAATTATAGAATTATATAAATATATCAAGTTTTGAGAAGTATTATATTATCATATAATAATTAAAAAAGACAATTTTTTATACCCAATCTGAAAAAAAAACTCATGTGGTCATGCCTTGGAAAAAACTCGAGCCATAAGTTGATAAGACACGTCTTGACATGTTATTTGTATGTCATTCGTAACAAACCCGTCTTGAACGTTTTCGTAACAACTATACCAACCCTCGCGTCTTGGCACGTCTTGACATGCGCCTGACGTGTTTTTTAGAACCATGCTTTTTCTTTTACAAATCTATCTCTCCTACAAATCAATGTAAATGGCAAAAAAACATTACATGAAAGTCATTATTGAGTTATAAAAATTTTCAAGACATGATTTAAGACAATAACTTTATATACATGATTTTTTTTTGAAACGAAGTAATTAAAAAAAAGTCAATACATATCGACGAAAGGCAAACGGGCAACAAACTACACCGCTAGCCGTTCTGGGTGACAAAATCTAATTTTTTTTTTGAAAACATAATTTGTAGATCTAAGAGATATAACATTAGAATGCATGACTTGTTAGACTCTGTTCATGAGCTCCACTACTTGTGGCACGAAAAAACCAAAGGTCTCAAATCATATAATCACATATATAGTAACAAATTGTCAAATCATATACACAATTTACTTGACTTTTTAATGTCACTCCGATTTACCTTAGATTATATATATATATAAGTAATCCGTCGTAATCTACTTTCTTAATAAATAAATCTATTCTTCCCATTACATATATAATCGATCATTTTTTTTTATCATTTGTCAACAACCTAACACAATTATAAATATATTTTATATGAAAATTATATATATATATATATATATATATATATATATATATATATATATATATATATATATATATATATATATATATTATTTGTAAAAAAATTAAAAACCAGTAAATTTTAATATATTTTTTATACAATTTAGAAAGCATGACATTAATTTTAAAATTGAAAACCAAAAGAAAAAAAAAACGACCAATACTGTTGTGTCATTTGTCGGTCAAAGTTGTCGTTGTGATCTTCCATAGCCCGCCGACTTGGATTGTGATCAATAGTTTTTTTTTTTGTTTTGTTTTTTTTTTTTTTTTTTTTTTGCCATATACGGTGTTATAGTGCCATGATCGGTTGTGATTCCTCCCAATAAACATGGTCTTAAGTCGATTTCTATACCATGTACTTATATACATATTATGAGTTATGATATGATATGAAATATGATTATGTACGAATAATGAGATCTAAAGCCTATAAAAAATGTGTTGCTAGAAAAACTTTTAGGTGTTGTTTGGTTCGTAAAATGTTTTTGAATGAATTACAACTGGAATTGGAAAAAGAATCTGTTAGGAATTTGAATCAAATTTCATATCCTGTTTGGTTGGCAAGACACAAAATGGAAATATAATTAATTCAAGATTTTGTTTTGTTTACAGGAAATGAAATTAGAATCCATGTAAGGATACTTTATATAAATTATAAAAATAATAAAATCTCGACAGTAGCAGTGATGGTGGTGACATTGATGGTGGTGACAGTGGTGATGGCGGTGACGGCGGTGGTAGGTCGTAGATAGTGGGTGATGGTAGTGGTGGTAGCGGCGGTGGCGATGGTGGTGGCGGCGACAGTGGTAGTGGTGGCGGGTGGAGGTGGTGGAGACAGCAGTGGTAGTGGTGACGGCGGTGATGGTGGTAATGGCTAGTGATGGTGGTGGTGATGGCGGCGTCGACGGTGGTAGTGGTGGTGGTGGCGTTAGTGGTGATGGCAGTGGAGGTGGTGTCTGGTGGCGGCGATGGTAGTGGTGGTGGTGGTGGCAGTGGCGGTTAATGGTCGGTAGCAGTAGTGGTGGGTGTTGGATTTCGGATAAGAAAAAGAGTATTTTTGTAATCTGTTACTAATCTTGATGAAAATGAATGTTTTCCATCCAACTTTGGAAGGAATTCACTTTTCTACATATGAAGGAAAATTTATTTCATTTAGGATCTCTTTCGTCCTCTAAGTCCAACCAAATTTATTTCATTTAGGATCTCTTTCGTCCTCTAAGTCCAACCAAACACACGAGGGAATTAAAATTATTTTCATTCGAACATTCATTTACTGCCAATCAAATGTGCCTTTATATGGAAATGTGTGTTGGGTGTTTTTTTTTGTTGGGTGTTTGTTTGTGTGGTGGACGGCTCATCATAAGGGTTTATTTAAGATTCCTTTTAAAAAAGAACTTATAAAAAACATAGGGGAAGTGTTTTTAATAGGACCCTTCTTTTCAAAAAGAAAATAAAAATAGAATTTGACCTATGTTTCTTGATTGATAGCACCTCTTTTAATGTTAGTCACAAATAATATCAGTATCTGAAGTAAATAATAATCAGCAAAAGATAATCATAACGTATAAAGTGTCCAAAATGACCCAAAACCTCAATAATACATTGATTGATTAAATAGATATATATAAACAAAAATATTAGCTGTCTTAATCCTAGTAGTATATATGTGTGGTAACGTACAGTTATATGAGATTTCCACAAGTTTTACCTATATATAGCCTACCAACAAGATCAAATAAAAGGATGGAGCAAAGGTATAAGAAAGAAAGAAAGAAACTAGCACTACAAAATTGCTCCCCTTTCTTGAATGTATGATCATTAACCCTATCTATATGAAGTCAGTTATTTTTGGGTGGATGAGACCTTGGGACATGGTAATCAGAATTAAGAGCCATGAAAGTCGAGCTCATTTTGACATGATGATTATCATCATGATCATTATGATCTATCTTCTTGCTTCTCTTCGTCATTTTATGACCACCTTTTCTAGGGTTTCCACTTGAAGAAGACGAAGCTTTCTTTGACACCATCTCGTCACCATTTATATGTTGTTCCTCCGCCATCTTCACCAGCATTCTCCTACCATTTATCTTTCCATTTACCAATGTTCCAACACTTGCAGAAACTGCATAGAGGGTACCCTAAAAACAATTCAAATATAAATGTCCTAAGTCAGTTGTAATATACTTTATAAGATGTAAGCATGATTAAACCAAATATGCTAAGTATATATGGGTTCTTAGTTTCTGTATTATAGAGTTTATAGAAAGTGCTCGTTGTTGCAAATTACAACATTTGGACGTTATGAAAGAACAATCTGGCCAATCTAAATACCATGATTTTAAAAACTAATTTGAACACAAAAATTTGCTAGTGTCCTGATCAATAAAGATACATTTAAAACCGATGTGCTTGTTTTTTAAGGAGAATATACCATATAACATTTTTGGTGACTCGAATTTTGAAATGAAACCATAAACATGTGTTCATGTAGCATTCCATGGTTAAGTGAGCAAAATTCACCTTTTCTTGTCTGGACAACAAGGGCCTTTCTTCTTCTCCTAATTTATCTCCAACCACCATCACCATCTTAGCATCTACAAAAGTTCAAACCGAAACTTAAGCACTCTAAAGGGATATCATAATTAGTTGAATTCAAAAGAAAAGATTGTTTGAGTAAGTGAAGTTACCTTGAAGAGAATATGCAACACTGTTAAGTAACATGAATATGATTGCAAAGACAAAGATACGAAACCTTATGGAAACCATTTTGTTCTTTGTTTCTTTCTTTGCATGCATACTTTTAAGAACAAAAAAGATATGGAGAAAATGGAATGGGAAGGAGAGCATTGATAATTTATAGACCCAAGATTCAAGTCAAAGTCAAAGATATATTCTTTAACCTTTATCCCATTAAAATATATAAAAGTGGGTACAAGCAGCACTTTTTTGGAGACCCAAATTCATTTATTTTAACTCAAACTATTGGATTAATAACAAATAAAGTTAAATATTGGGTTTCACATGATGGTTGAGACAATTGAGACAAGTGAATAAAATATTACGTTATTTAATACTAATAGTCATGTTTATAAGTAGGCTTTTGAATTATTATTTAATAATGACAAACACAAGACAATATATTATATACCAAGATAATAAATATAATAATTTGAGTAAATTCAGAGAATACAAAACTGATCAACAACGTAAAGTTGAAATGACAGCACTAACTTATATATAAAATTGTAAATTTTGCTTAAAATCTTAAATAGCAATATATAATTATATTCAAGTATAATGAATTTTGAATAGGGATGAAATTTAAAACCAAAAAACCGGACCAAAATCGGAGCCGTTAGAACTGAAATATGTACAACCAGTCCGGGTTTAAAGAATGTTTTTATCTGGGTTTCGGGTAATCCGGGTATGGGTCATTCGGGTCCGGGTAAACCGGGTTTAAGAATTGAAACCGATGTTAGGAACCAGAACCGGTTTTAGGGGCCAAAACAAGTTTTTGTGAAAAGTTTAAAACATACATATCTCATTCGTTTGAAGTCGAATTGACATGCATTTTTTTCAGCATATATTTTAGAGTTTGTATATGATTTTAGACTATTTGTTATTTTTTGTTTCATATTAATTGACTTACAATCCCCCAAAGTCGGGATATCAAAACTGAAAATTTTCAGTTTTTTTTTTTTTTTTTTTTTTTTTGTATTTTATGAAAATTTTAAAACATGCATATCTAATTTTTTTGAAGTCGGATTAGCATGCGGTTTCTACCGATGTGTAGTTTAGAGACTGTACATAATTTTAGACTATATTTTTGTCATTTTTGGTTTCATATTCATTGACTTATAGTCCCCCAAAGTCGACATATCAAAGTTGAAAATTTTCAGTTTTTCAAATTTTTTTTTCTGTATTCTATGAAAATTTTTAAACATGTATATCTAATTCGTTAGAAGTCGGATTAGCATGCAGTTTTTTCCACTATGTAGTTTAGATTTTGTAAATTATTTTATACTATAATTTTTTCATTTTTCGTTTCATATTTATTGACTTACAATCCCCCAAAGCCGAGATATCAAAACTGGAAATTTTTAGTTTTTCAACTTTTTTTGTATTCTATGAAAATTTTAGAACATGCATATCTAATTCGTTTGAAGTCGGATTAGCATGCAGTTTTTTCCAACGTGTAGTTTAGAGTTTATTCATGATTTTAGACTATAATTTTGATATTTTTTGTTTGATACTCAATGACGTACAGTCCCTCGAAATTGGGATATATCTGTAACATCTATTTCCAAGTATTTCCCTCGAGACCCAAACTTTCTAATTTTAAGAGTTTTTATGGATGTCACGACGTGGTGATGAAGCTCACCACAACGTGGTAGCGCTCCATAAAGGAACACGCATTTTCAATCACCACGACATGGCAATACAATGGCCACGACATGGTGGCGGCAAAATGAAAAACCTTAATTTCGAGTCTTGAGCCCTGTTTAAACAACATTATGGCTAAGGTTTGCTCTTAACTCCATCTTCCATCCCTTTGAGAGAAACCCTAGAGAGTGTGTGTGTGTGTGTATTCTTGGTGAAAAAGTATGTGGTCTTGACCTTTAAAGGTTCATGAAGAATGAGAGAATGATGCAAGCATGTAAGGTGACTTTTTGTTGTTGGGGGCTGCTTTTACTTCAATACTTAGACTCCAGAAGGTATAAAGTTTAGAAATTTACACTTCATGAGTTACTTATGATGTGATTAAGTCCCTTTTGGTTTTTGGAAATGAATCCTTGGAGTTTGAAGCAACTCCAGGACCTTGGATAAGATGTATGCTAGTTCTTGGACCTTATGGTCCCATAAAGTTTGTATCTTTGTCATTAATCAACCATGCATGATATTTCTAGGTTACTTGGTCCGTTTTAGAGTTATGGTTTTAGATCCAGGCTTCTAGAGGCTAGAGAAGGGATAAAGTTGAAAACTTTATCCATGTATGGTCTAAATCAATCGAGATTTGAGCTTTGGAGTTCTGGAAATAAGTATTAAAGGCTTAATGAATTAAGCCGGTCAAGACATAACCATGACGTGGCAAGTCTGCTTCCACGACGTTGCGACAAGGGGATCCGTGACAGTTTTGGAGTTTAGCCTCCACTCTGTGGCCATGGTGTTGGCCACGACGTGGTGACTCGACTGTTGACTTTTGACCCTTGACTTTTTTACCAGGTTTGACTTGAGGTCAAACTCTAGGGTTCAGGTCTTAGATTGAGGATGTACCCTTATTTGGCTAGGTGTGTGTGGTACCAGTTTGTTGTATGTGACGAGTAATAGGGATTTCTACTTTCGTCTGTGAGGTGAGTTCTTCTTACTATACTTTATACTGCAATATGTATCATTTGTATGTTAGGATGTTAATATATTATAGTGATCTGTTATAATGGTAGATCTGTTATGATTACCCATGTTTGTTTGTTATTGTTATTTGCATATATCGACATATTGTGGTTGGGTTGAGGCAGTCCTGCTTTGTCTTGTAGGCTAAGATACCTGGGCGGTCCAGTTCATATTGTAGGCCTAAAAGGAGCGGCCCAACTTGGATGTTATATGCTCCAGATGGAGGTCCAACCTTGTGTTGTAGGCATGGTGTGAATGCATTCTATGTGTATTCTTGTGTGGGGTATTTTAGGAAAACTCAGTAAGCTTCGGCTTATAGTTGTGGATTTAAATATTTCAGGTACTTCTGAGGATTGGGGCAAGGCGAAAGCATGACTGTACAATGTTGTATTAGGTGTCTAAGCCCATAACTATTATTGGTATATATTTGAATTGATAGTAGCACAGTCCTTTTGGGTTACCCTCAAACCTAGCAATTGGACATGATGACTATTGGAGAGAAAGGTTTTTATTATATGAATAATAAATTGAAATAAATAGTTTATTAATATATTATGAGAATAATATATTAATTAGAAAAACTATTATTTAATTAATAATTAGTCATAAATTAATTGGAATTAATTTTGGGATTAATGGAATTAATTAAAAGTGTAGTGTCTAAAATGCAATTGTTCAATAGTTGAACAACAGGCTCTAGAACCTTCCACCAGGAGGGTTGTAACAACCCAATTTTTCCAAAGAAAATTTTCATTTTAAAATAATCAAAACATTTCCAATAAACCACAAAATCTCAAGAACAATTGTTTTCAAATTCATAACATCAACATTTTATTTCATATATCAGAGTGTCCCGTAAAAACGCCTGAGAGAGTGCATGTCGCACCATCAAGCCTTGCCCTTGCCCTTAGGCTCAGAAGTACCTGAAACAAATCAACAAACTGTAAGCTAATGCTTAGTGAGTTCCCCAGAGCATACCTCACACAATCCACATAATCACATAATACATATTAGCTATAAAAGCTACATAAACCACATAAGCCATGCGTACTAACATATAAGGATGTCGTGGGCTCCCCCAGGGTCTTACTCCAGGATGTCATGGGCTCCCCCACATGGTCTTACACCTAAGTGTCATGGCCTCCCCCATGGTCTTTAGCTGGAAAGCCATGGGCTCCCCCACATGGTCTTGATAGGTTTTGAGCATTCTAACACTCCTATGGTGTACATGCAACCCTAGAAACCTTGGATCTATGTTTGACTAAGATACATGCAAATAATTATTTTTCCAAGGTTCTTATCCTAACTAGCATGGCATGGGATACTTGAATCAAATAAAACTAGTAGAATTACTTACCTTGTAGTAGTAGTTGATTGCTTGGAGTTTGAGAGCCTAGCACCAATAATGTGGATGCCTCAAATGGAAGTCACAAATCACCACAAACTTGGAAACTTGAGAGAATAGTCACAAACTTCTTGAAATCGGCCCTCTTAGTTTACACACATCAACTAGTCCAATTTCAAGAACCAAAGCGTCCTTTATATAGTGTTGTGGATTAGGGTTACATCCATGTAAACCCTAATACCCATGTCTTTTCATTTCCATGAGATCCACGGGTTAAAGCTCCATGGAGTATCCATGGACTTTCCATGCAAGCCTAGCCCATTCCAAATAAGCATTAGCCCACACTATATAAATATAAGAGCCCATATTTAATTAGTCATACTTTTGATCTGTAAATTAATTCTAAATTAATTATAGATCAATACTAATTAAATAATATTATTTTATATTAATATATTAGGACTTATAATATATTAATAAATCATAACTTATACTATTCTCAAACGATTATCCATAAATTGTTCGGGTGAAGTGCAACCCAAATGGACCATGCCGGGTCGGGTCAAGTACATACCAAATATAGTTATGGACTTAGACACTATATCCAACAGGTCTTACATCCAAGTGTCATGGGCTCCCCCATGGTCTTTACCTGAAAAGCCATAGGCTCCCCCACATGGTCTTACATCCAAGCGCCATGGGCTCCCCCATGGTCTTTCCTGCAAATATCACATATACACTAGCATACCTCCGTGCACATAACCAACTAGCATATCACATATCACTACATCAACTAGTGTACCACATATTATAAAATGGGTCGGCCTTGGTGCCTTAGACACATTGGTATGGTGAGGAGACTCACCTCAAATGCAAACTATAACTGAACTGATAAGATAAGATCAGATAAGTCCCAATGCGCAACTCCAACTTAATTGCCTACAATCATCATATGACTACTTGTAAAAATCCAAACGTACCAATAATATCCTCAGAGTCAAATGGTCAAAGTCAAGGTCAACAATCCATGTTGACCCAACTCGTCGAGTGCATCTAGCAACTCGTCAAGTGCATCTAGCAACTCGTCGAGTTCTTTCAGGGTT